ACCAAAAGTAAACTATATCCCTAATACCTAAAGGTGATAAAATAAGAAATTAGTACAAGTATATTTAAAAATATTGAAGCAGCCACCAGAAGACCACCACAAAACAAGTAAAAGTCAATGCCTCTGGAAAGCAGAACAGGAACTGAAAGGGAAGGGCAAGAGACTGTTGCTTTTCATTTACAAATCTGTACTCTGATTTTTTAAAAAACATACACATGGTATCTTTTTAATAGTCAAAAGTGGACTTCTTTAAGTTTATAAGAAAAAGGAAATTTGATACATGAAAATTAAACCTATTTAATGCTTTCAAATCTGTGAATGCTCCTGATCTGTTTTAAAGATTTAAAAGTGCATGTGTATATATGTATATATTAATAGTAATTGCTGAAATGAAATGCTTTGCACAACAATTTGTTACAGGAAAAACTTCATCACACAAAATGTTATCTTTTTAATGTTCCTACAGACAGAACATTAGCATAAGGATTACAATTAGTAGAGAAATGTTTCAGTAGACTCCAACACTAAAAGGGATTGCTGAAGATGAGCACAAATTATTTTATTAACCTATGCTATCACCAAAATGGCAGCAATGTTAACTGCCAGAAAATGTTTCTCCTTTTAACACTAGCATGGCCTTATTATCTAATTCTTAAAAGAGACTTTAAAAAAAATTCCAAACATTTCTTTGAATGAGAAACAACTTATCAAACTATAGTTTTCAGTTTTTACTTTAAAAACAGGCTTTTCAATTTTTTAATAAGCTAGTTTAAATAGTTTTGAAAAACTCTGTATTGGATTTTTTTTTTTTTTAATCTGGCCCTTCCTCACTTAGTCTGCATTAGATTTTTTTTTTTTTTTTTTTGAGACAAGGTCTTGCTCTGTTGCCTGGGACAGAATGCACTAGAGTGATCACAGCTCACTGTAATCTCACACTCCTGGGCTCAAGCAATCCTCCTGCCTCAGCCTCCCAAGTAGCTGTGACTACAGGTGCTTGCCACTGAACCCCACTAATTTTTTAATTTTTTGTAGAGACAGGGTCTTGCACTTACTCAGGTTGGTCTCAAACTCCTCCTAACCCCAAGCAATCCTCTAACCTCAGCCTCCCAGAGTGCTAGCATTGTAGGCATGAGCCACTATGAGAAGCCCTGGATTATTATTGTCTAAAATCATGGTATACCAAAGGCAAACAGCACCATAAAACGCTGATTGACTTTTGTCATACATATACTTTAAAATTATAAAACAATTTTTGTGCACTAGAACATTTTAAGACAAGAACTTTCCCTTCTTCTCCTCTAATTCCACTCCACTCAGAAAGTAACCAGTGTTATCAGTTTGGTGTATGTACTTTCTGAGTTTTTCTGTGTCTGCACCCACACACAACCCATTTAAAAATTTGTTTTAACAAAAGGAATCAAATTACTAAATAAGTATTACACTCAGTATATTGCATATATCTTTTCAACACACAAATATTTTCCCTCAGTTTACTGTTTGGTAATTGCCTTAAGAATTTCTAATGGCTGGTATTCCAGTAAATGAAATGTAGCATATTAAAGCATATGAGAAACAACATTCCACATCTTAGGTTACACACAGTCTAATGGCTACAAAGTCACATTTTAAAAATTCAAATGTCCTGCTCTAATTTTTCACATGAAAATTAACTTCAAGTTTTACATTTCTCCAAAATGTATTAATGTTATATTATATGGCAATGGCTGAAGTAGGCAAGATTAGCAGAAATATGTAATTTATCAAAATAATCCTCCTACATATACTAACATCAGCAACAGAAAGGGGGGGGAATGAACGGAGCAAAAACAAGAGTCTGAATTCATAAATCAAGAGGTACATGTGAGCAAAGAAGTCCAGGAAAATTAACCTCTTTCAATTTAAGACTTATTTTTATAGAAATTAAACTCTAAGCATAAAATAATTTTTTTTTGAGACGGAGTCTTGCTCTGTTGCCTGGTTTAGAGTGCCGGGGCCTGAGCCTAGCTCACAGCAACCTCAAACTTCTGGGCTCAAGCAATCCTGCCTCAGCCTCCCGAGTAGCTGGGACTACAGGCATGCACCACCATGCCCCACTAATTTTTTCTATACATATTTTTTAGTTGACCAAATAATTTCTATTTTTTAGTAGAGACCAGGTCTCGCTCTTGCTCAAGCTGGTTTCGAACTCCTGACCTAAAGCAATCCTCATGCCTTGGCCTCCTAGAGTGCTAGGATTACAGGTGTGAGCCAACACGCCCAGGCATAAAATAATTGCTTAAAATCCTCAAAAGTCTGAATTACTAACATTAAAAAATATTTAATCCGAGGGCATGGTGGCTCACACCTGTAATCCTAGCACTCTGGGAGGCTGAGGCGGTGGATCGTTTGAGCTCACAAATTTGAAACCAGCCTGAGCAAGAGCGAGACCCCCGTCACTACTGAGAAAAAAAAAAAAAAAAAAACCTTTAGTCAAGAAAGGTATTGTGAATATTAACTTAAAAATGGCATTACTTTTAAAACCTGAAATTTTAAGAAATGGCTATTTGGTTTAATTATTGTAGCTAGCCCTAATTTTTAAATATATCACATCCTTGTTTACAAAGCCAAACAAGGTAATTGCAAATAAATTTAAGGAAAAAAAAGAAGTTACTCTATTCCAAAAGTTTTGTATAATAGCTTAAGTAAACTCACTGAAAATCAAGTATCAACACTTAACAGATGTTTAACATATTGTTTACAAAACACAACATAATTATTTTGTGAATAAACAGGTTCCACACATAAAATCATAATGGCTGGTCTCACAGCAACCTCAAACTTCTGGGCTCAAGCAATCCTTCTGCCTCAGCCTCCCGAATAGCTGGGACTACAGGCATGCACCACCATGCCCTGCTAATTTTTTCTATATATATATTTTTTAGTTGACCAAACAATTTCTATTTTTTAGTAGAGACTGGGTCTCGCTCTTGCTCAGGCTGGTTTCAAACTCCTGACCTTCAGCAATCCTCCCACCTCGGCCTCCCAGAGAGCTAGGATAACAGGCGTGAGCCACCATACCCAGCCAGCATTTCTTTAAAGACATATTCCTAGATAATATACAAATTAACCCCAATACTAGAAGACTAGTTCAGATGCCTGTAAAATGTGTAAGATAACCTTATCTTTTTCTAAACCAACTCTTACCCTTATTAACCCATACATAATTATTGCTCACCTTTCCAAATACTCATTTTTAATTTTTTTCTAACCTATAAAATGTACATCTATAAAATCTTGGAAACACGAAGAAATAAAGATCACAATCCCATAACCCCACTTTTGGTTCATGTTCTTCTAGTTATTTATCCACATACATCTATATTAACTTTTTTCTTCCTACCAAATTTGGGATCATAGAAAATAAGTGCCCAAACCAGCCTGAACAAGAGCAAGACCCCCATTTCTACTAAAAATAGAAAAAATTAGCCAGGTGTGGTGGGGCACACCTGTAGTCTGAGCTACTGCAGGACAGCTTGAGCCCAGGAGTTTGAGGTTGCAGTGAGCTATGATGAGGCCACTTCACTCTAGCCAGTGCAAGGGAGTGAGACCCTGTCTCTCTAAAGAAACAAAGAAAGTAAGTGCCTTTTAACTGTTAAGTGGTTCATTTCGATCTATCATATTTCAAAAATTACAATTCTACCATCATCAAAGAAGTACAATGACGTTAATTCTTACTAGTTACAAAATCTATTTACTTCTCTACATGTACTTTTTCTTTTGTGAGGTTTAAAATGGTAGTCTTATTACCTCCTCCTGGGGTAGGAAGAAAAGCATAAGCACTGTAAAGAAAAAGGCCTAGGGTTTATGTCTTCATTTTGTGAATTAGATGAACGTGACCTTGTGTAAATTACAAAGTGTCTGAATATGTTTGCTCAGATGAAAATGGAAATAGTGTAACTGCACCTACCAAATAAATAAAATGATAGAGGTAAATGGAGAACCCACTGTCTGGGCACACAGTAGAAACTCCACAAAAATTAGTGTTTTAGTTCCCATTAAAAAAATAGCGTGAATGCAACACAACTACTAAAAGCATAACTTTTTTTTAAAATAAAAAAAAAAATAAAAGCATGACTTTTAAACACAAACACAGTAATTGTAAGCGAAAAGGTGTTATTTGTCAGAGCTTTTACTCACTTGTAATCTAAGTCATTTCACGGCCCATATACACAAGGTATCGCTGCACCACAAATTTTACCTCCGGAAAATAAATATTTTAAGTACACTGAACATGTGTTTGGCTATCTAAAATCAGAGCTAACAGAAGGGAAGAATGCAGAACATTTCTCTTGTGAAAGTATACTACGAGTTAAAACCCTGCGGTTGAGAATTTCCTTTAAAGCAGGAGATGAAAAGGAAAGCAGCTCTCAGAATAAAAACGAAGAAAAGAAACGAAAGGCAGCCCCAGATTTCCCTCCGCCCCAGAGGTAAAGTCCAGGAATGAAAATAAGAGTAATTCTTTACAGGAATGTACAGAGAATGCCACGAACACGTAAGAATACACAGGGGATAGAATAAGTTTGAAAACTGCTGCTTGCGTAGGTCCGGGCACCTGGGTTCGTAAGACTTAAATTAATACACGGGGGTCTTTTTCAGAAGCGGGGATGAGACGGGGGCAGGAGAGGGTAAACGGTGTGTGAAAGTCACGGGAGCAGGAAAAACAATGGGAGGGGGCGGCGGCAAAACGCAGAAGACCCAGGCCCTGGCGAAGCGGCTTCGCCCGTGGGAAAACAAAATAGTTGGAGAACTAAAAAAAAAAAATGAGGAAATTCCGGGCGCTCCGCGGGGAAGAACTGGGGGCTGCCGAGGAAAAACAGGGTAGGTGGCGTCGGAGAGAAGGGTCGACGGTGGGAAGCGAGGACCTGGATGTGCGCAGGGGAGGAGACCCGGAGGCCTGTGGGGAGTCGGCGACTCTGAGGGAAACCGGGAGGCGGCGAAACGGGGTCGGGGTAGCGCGGTACCTGCAGAGATCGTCCAGGACGCTGCCGGGAATCTCCACCCGTTTGGTCTCCATGATGAGAACCCACAGCAGGAGCAGTGCATCCCGGCTCCGCGTGGCCGGGGACCGAGGGCACGGCACGGAGACTCCGGCTCGCCGGAGAGCGCGCAGCGGAGGCGGCAGCGGCGGCGACTCTAACCAAGAGCAGCAGGGGAAGGGGCGGGACCCGCTCACTTCCGTCCTGCTCTCTCAGCCCTGGATCCCGAGACTGGGCCAAGGCGTGGGGCGGAGCCCCGGGAGTCACGCCCCTGCTCTACTTGAAAGACCCAATAGAAAGCTGAAGAATTGGGAGTCTGCGCTCGCTAAGCCAATGAGATGTTTGTTTATTGGTCCGCCGTCTCCAATCCGTCTTCAAGCTACTCAACCAACTTCCCGCCGCCGCGATTGAGTCCTAGGTGTGGACTCACGCATGCGCATCGTGCCTCATTTGCGCTCCTAGGTTTGGAGGACTTAGGTCTTCTCTATTGATCACGAAACCGACATCCGGGACTTTGGGCGTGTTCTGAACGACCCCTGGGTGACCGAGTGGGCACAGGTCCTCCGCGGGGCAGACCCCGAGGACCCGTTAAGCACAAGCGTATATTCATGAGTCTTGTCACCAAATATCCTACACTCCTCGCTGCCCCCACCACCCAGGGCTGTGCCTTTCTCTACAAATCCCTGAAGAGAGTATCCATTTTCCAAGTGGCTCACCTCTGTCCCTCTCCAGGCACTTAGCTGCAAATATGAAGACAGGACTTTATCCCTCTATCTGGCACCTATGGAGTCTCAAAACATTAATTGAACTTTAACTCGTGATCTGCCTTCCACGCCCAACACACACCAACTTCCACGTGCTGGTCCTCATCCATTCCTCATCATGCTTAATGGACTACAATCCATTCAGAATCCTTGGATAAACTAGATTTATCTGTTCTCCTTCCTCTTGCATCAGACCCAAAAGGAAGCAAGCCCACACACCCCTGCTCAGTTACGAGTTTAGTCTGTTTTACCATTTAAGATCCTGTCTTTTCTCTTAATTTCTGTCTAAATGCCACTGTCTTTATTTCAGGTCTGCATTATTTCTCCACACTACTGCAAGAACTGCCTAACCAGTACCTCTCCTTCCATTCTTGGCCTATGCAACTGCCTAAGTTTTGTTTTATTCAGATATAAACAGGTTACTATCTTTTCAGCTTCTGCTAGTCTCCTACATTGGCTTCTGATGTATGATATGATCAAGCACAAACTCCCTTGGCATGATGTAAGAGGCCTGTCACCATCTGTTTTACGCCCCTGTTTTCCATCTTGGTCTTTTTGTTCTTTCTTGGAGAAGTCCTCAATTTATCTTCTAGCTATCTATAGAGCTTTTACTTTTCTGGGGTTCTTTGTTGTTCTTCAGATGTCCTTTTTCTTATGGTGTAATGTTCTTGCTTCATAGGTATCATATTTTATCCCTCTGAGGATATTAATAATAGATTTTGAAATTTTCTTCTCCCTGAATAGTCTCTTATTCCTCTCAGCTGCTTTTTGCTATTAAATTAGTCTCCATCTATCACATTAGAAGTGTTCTGTGGTCCTTGAGAGTTCACTCACACTTAACAGTAAGGCGTTAAAAACCTGGAGTCAACTGCTAAGAAAGCTAATTGAAAGCTCTAAGATTGTGGGTGGGACTTGTTTCCTGAGAGCTTCACTGTAGGATGGATGATCTGGCTGAGTTGTTGGTTAGAAACACATGGCATCAGTCTCTGTAAGTTGTTCTTTCTTGCTGGTCAAATTCCCTAAAGAGAAAAATGCTTCCAGGCACAGCTTGAAGTATTCTGGGAGTCAAGTGGGGAAGCACAGGCTGGAGTATTTCATTTCCTTTATTCAATACTCTTTGGCACAGTACAGGCCTTAGTTTAGGTTTCCTAAGAAGTAGGCCCCAAGACAAGGATTTGAGTGCAAATAGTCTATGAGAGAGGTGATCCTTGGAAACAATTGTAGCAGAGCTGGGAAGTGAGTCAAGAAAGGGAAGAAAGCCAATAAAGGGTTTATTATCAAGGAAGTTAGCATTGTGGTTAACTGGACCTTAATCTCACTGGAGAACTCTAGAGCCCAGTGTAAAACACATCCCTCAGAGTTATCCCACTCAAGCGGTGAGGAAAATGGGGATTTATATACCACGTTCCATCATTAGTCATTGGTTGAGGGCTGCTCCTAGGGCCTGTACCCCAGCCTGCCACATGGGTGGTAGGTGAGCTCTGGTAGCCAGAAAAAAGCCTTCAGGCAAAGAAATGTGAGTGCTAGCAGTTGCAAGTCCAGCCAGTATAGTGTGTGGATAGTAAAGTTAAGGGTGAACCCCTTCAGTAGTTCTATTTTACTGGGCATGCATTTTATTAATATCTATTCTGACTGAATGCCTTTTTCTGGGGGACACCATAGTGGTTTTCTTAGTCGTCCCACTGGGAGCTCAAGTCTGATATTTAGAGTACTCTATGTGATGATAGTGAAACAATGGTGCAAGGCCAAGTGGTATTTATGCCCATGGGCCAATGGTACAGAAACAAGCAGATTACCAGGCACCTGCTGAAGCACTTGGAGGAAATATTCCTACTACCTTTACAATTCTCCCAGTTAAGGGGTAGCTATACAGCTCCTTTTTCAATTTTAGGGACCAGAAAGTCCCCAAACTCTCACACTGTGTTAAACCAAGCTGCCCCATTAACAGTTTCAGATATGTCTAATGGTCAAGCATCTTCTAAGCTACTTTCCTGCCCACTCTCATCCCTCCCTTGCCTCCTCACACACAGATTTCCAAGAGCTGAATTAATGCATAGTAGATGCTTACAGATAGACGCTTATAGCCGTCCTCTGAGGCGTGATTTCCAAAGAACCCAAAACCTCATTCCCATCCACCTGTTCACAGGCCCCAGCAGCCTTTGACTTAAGAAAGGCAAATAAATTGGAGTTGAGAGTTGAAGGAACAGGAGATGCTAAGGTTCTTAAATTATAATACTGATTTGATTTTTGAATAATTGGGTTGATCAAAACCTTTATAGTTTTAAAATATGCTATCTTGGCCGGGCGAGGTGGCTCACGCCTGTAATCCTAGCACTCTGGGAGGCCGAGGCGGCCGGATTGCTTGAGGTCAGGAGTTCGAAACCAGCCTGAGCAAGAGTGAGACCCCATCTCTACTATAAATAAAAAGAAATTAATTGGCCAACTAATATATGTAGAAAAAATTAGCGGGGCATGGTGGTGCATGCCTATAGTCCCAGCTACTCGGGAGGCTGAAGCAGGAGGATCACTTCAGCCCAGGAGTTTGAGGTTGCTGTGAGCTAGGCTGACACCACAGAACTCACTCTAAGCTGGGCAACAAAGTGAGACTCTGTCACAAAAACAAAAATAAATAAATAAAATAAAATATGCTATCTTATTTAGTCTTTATAAAGACTAGGCAGATGTGAAATAGGCAGATAGAGACTAAGGAGACTTATAAAGATTAAACGACTCATAAAGATTAAATGATTAAATGACAATATGTAATGGAGCCAGGACTAGAATTCAGTTCTAAACTCACAGCAGGAATTCTGCTTTACGGAGAATAACACAATAATAATTATTACTAATGTATGTACAGCATATTATAGTATAAAATTCTTGTCAAATATAATAATCCTCACAACAAAACAAGCTATCATCAAATCTTAAAAAACATTTAAATTTGCTTGTCGGCCTCTTTTATAAATTGAATGAGGTTAAATTAAGTCTGTCAAAGCTTTTTTACATCCCTACAAAGTTCTTATGGTTCAACTCAACACTTACTGAGCAACACATATTTGCCCCTTATGTTAGCCCCACTCTCTCTTTCTACTAAATCATCTCCCATAACATATAAAATGCTTTCATAACATCTACAAAAAAAAAAACAAAACAAAAACCTACCTTGATCTCTACTGCAGAGTCTTACTAGATGCTGAGCAAGTCCATTTCCTTTTCCTGGACTCACAGGCTCCCTTGCATTTAGATGGAACCAGGAATTGAGTTCTGGCCAATAACATGAGGATAAAAGTAATATGCCTAGCTTCTAAGAATATCTCCTAAAATGCCCCATGTTATTTTTATTTCTCTCTTTCCTTTTCTTCCCAGATGAAAGCAAAGGACTCCAGATGGACCAGCCATGCTGTGGAAGGAACAAAGATCCCTGAGTTTACTGCTTGGAGGAGAACTACCCTAGAGCTTTTGTTCCAGATTCTGCATGAGCAGGAAATAAACTTTTGCTGCGCAAAGTATCCTGATGGTTTACACACAAACTGTTCCCCAGAATCAGTCTTCCCCATTTCAGTATATGTATCTCATAGTGGACATTCTTGTGTGCCAACCCAACACCCATTCACCCAGGGCCAGCTACATGGGTATGTGTATAAACTGCATAATTGCACAGGGCTCTGCATTCAGAAAGGCCTCATGTTGGGTTCAATGCTCTGCTATCACCATCTTGAAATTCTTAATTATTTTACTATTGAGCTTGTGTTTTGTAAGTGGAGTTGGATAGGACAATGGAACATGCACAGGAGCAGAGGTGATACACACAATATGCCTGGCCACCCACTCCTAGCTGCCCTATCTGCATATAGCATTTGTCATGCTATATTACAGTAGTTGATTAGAGCAACAAGCCAAAGATGAAAGAGTAGCCTTTAATCACTTACTGCGATGATATAAGCAAGAGTTCCATTTCCTCCATGGAATTGTGCAAAGGTCAAGAGTCAGCTGGGGGCTAGGTGCAGTGGCTCACACCTGGAATCCTAGCACTCTGGGAGGCTGAGGTGGGATGATCACTTGAGGTCAGGAGTTCAAGACCAGCCTAAGCAAGAGGAAGACCCTGTCTCTACCAAAAATAGAAAAATTAGCCAGGGCATGTTGGCCCACACCTGTAGTGCCAGCTATTTGGGAGGCAGAGGCAGGAGGATCACATGAGCCCAGGAGTTTGAGGTTTCAGTGAGCTATGATAATGCAACTGTACTCTAGCCAGGGAGACAGAGCAAGACCCGGTCTCAAAAAAAAAAAAAGAGTCAGGTGGGTCGGCACAAATGTGTGGGGTCGTGGGCTCATCTAACTGTTACGGGATCCCTGAAGAAAAAGCTCCAGCAGTTTTATGGTTTTATGGACCCTGAGGTGGAGTAGGGGAGGGCAAGGGGGAAAGGCTAGGAGTGGAAAAGAACTGAGTACTGAGGCAGCATGGACAAAAGTGTCTTCAAGGTTTCCCTCTCCCCTC